ACCCACACCCACACACCCACACCCACACCCCTGATGGAGCAAAATCTTTTTTCCATTGGCACTACAAGCTAAACTAATGACAAGCTATTATATAGAAAAATATTTCAAAACAAAAAGCGCCTTATCGTCACATATCCAAGTAACTAAATACTGTAAATCACAATTTAACAACCAATGATTATCTTATACAGCACATTCGTTATCTTAGAAACGAGACGAACACAAATAAAAGTGTCGTATATTACTTTTAACGCTGACTTTTTTAATTGAAAGCAGTACAAGAAGTATTGACGTATTTAGAATATCTGCAGTCTATGGACACATATATGAGAGAATAAGGTTTTATTCCTGTAATGTTGAAAATTGTCGGCAGATTATATGTATTTATTTAAAATCAAACTTTCGTTACAATGAAGTTATTACTAGTATGTTACTATTATACACACTACTACAACATTTATGGAATCTGTCCTCTCTTTCGTTTCTATCGTCTTACATATCGAGATGTAGAGAGACAAGAGGAGAGAGCAGAGAAATAGATCCGAAAAAGGATTGAGTAGACGAATGTCTGAGTAGACAATTTCTATTCTTCTATTTAGTCAATACACTGACGCCTCTAGACAAGTGTTGACTGAACATTCTTCTGTTGTCACATACACAAAGAGTGATTATTGAGATGTACTAAATATTGGTACAACATCTATGCCAGTAAAATCGTTTTCTCACTTTTCCAGTGGAAAGCTGTGAAGAAAGGATGAGTGATCAAAATCGTTTGTATCTTTCAGAATATTTTACTTAATCTCATATATTTCCCGATCTATCATTGAGAATAATATTGATGCTCATCTCAGAAAGAATACATTAAGATTATGCACAGTCAACTGAAGCTAGAATTTGGGAGTATCTACCAAACCCTAACACTTTTCAATCGTTTTGGGTGCAAAAATTCATCAAAAGACTCTACGGATCGTCAGAATTTGTGATAGTTATTCAGACGATTTTTACGAGAATTTTGAGGTTTTTTTACATGTAAGTAAGAATCAAGCAAGCTTTTATCTTGAAATCTTCAAAGTTTGAAAGCTTAACAAAGAAATATCAGAAAAGTTTTGACAGATTTTTAAAAATGATAAGCGCCTTCAATACGTTTCGCACGTCAGCCCTTCCAGAGGGGGCTTCTAATATACGAAAGACTTCCGTGATGGAAAGGAATTTATTTCTCTTTCTATCAAAACCATAGAACACGCTTTCTGATATTGAGACAGTTGAGCTCGATTGTTTATCCGCTACCGAAGAAGCCCGTGTTGCATAGTGTTTTACTTACTGACAGCTATTTCTCTTATGCGTATGCAAAAGAACATCTGATTTTTTTTAATAAAATCTTCCCGATAAACTTCTGATTTTTTTATAAAAAAAGTCCTAGTTTCCAAAATTTGGATTTGGTAACCCTGATTATTACTAAACGATTCCTTATAAATTCTCACAGACGATTCTGTCACTATTCTTGATTCTTGAAATATCATCGGTACAAGGTCAATCAATTGAAAGAGTGTCTAATCAAGTTAATTCTAAACATGTAATTATAAGTTGGAAAAATTAACGCAACTGCATAAAAATTCAGTTTTCTGTTTATTTAAACCATCAGATTGAAAAATATGACGTGACATATTTTGATCAGAAAGAATATTTGAGCAAAGGAGACATAACTGGAAACATTTTGCGATGAGTTCCCATCATCGTTGTTTTTATGCCATGATAATATCCAACCAAGTAATCAACAACTATCATCAACTGAATCCGATAGAAAAACAAAACGCTAATTCATGTTATCCGGACTGTTTTGTTTTTGACTGTTGATGTCAATTATTCATGTGTCATACGATACTAGTTTAAATGATATACATTAATAAATAAACATATAAATATATCTTATCGCGAGTCTAGAATCGACGTGGATGATTGTTGTTGTATCTATAAAACCATAATAAATATATGCCGAACGGACAACATAGTTTTTTCATTTGAATCCTGAGGACGGCAATGAATTTTTTATTTCTAACTACAATTCTATTTATCAAAGGTAAAAAGAAACGTTTAAAATCATCTGACTTCACTTCGTGTTGTACGATAAAATTATATGATATTCTTCATTGAAGGATCTTCACAATCTTCTATAAAACAATGGATAGCCAAAGCTAATGTGCATATTGATTCAAGTGCTATCTCTGCTGGCACTATAACATTTATTCAGGAAGATTTACCTCTAGCATCTGTTCGTGTAATTGGGAAATTGAATTTAACATCAAATAAAAAATATCTTGGATTTCATGTACACATGTTTAGCTTACCGGATGATCAATGGAATTGTTCTTACGCTGGTCCTCATTGGAATCCATATGGTACTCATGTATTCTGTTTCATTTTTTTTTAGTCTTATCGTAATATTGAATAGATGCGAAGCATGGTAGCAGATTGGATCCTGTGGGGCAGAGACATGTCGGTGATCTTGGAAACATTTGGTGAGAAGCTTCTTGTTTGAATTAAGATCGTTTACTTCATTGATATTTTGTCAATTGCTTTAACAAGGTCTGATTCAAAAGGTATCGTAAACATCGATTTTGAAGATTCCATAATTCAGTTACATAATTTAACAAAAAGTTCGATTTTGGATAAATCGATTGTTATTCATCAAGATGAAGATGATCTCGGTCGTGGCAATCACTCAGATAGTCATACAACAGGGTTAGTAAAGGCTACTATTTCATTATTGATATAGAACAAATTTTTATTTTTCTAGACATGCTGGTGATCGTATTGCATGTGGAAATATTCGTTTAGTCGATTCAGGTTTGCTACCTTTACTTTTTTGAAGTTTCAAAAGATGATTTCATATTTTTTTCTTCCATATTTCTGCATTAGTTGTCTTGAAGTTATGACACTGATGATAAAAATAAATAGTGCATTTACAAATAATCTCTAGTAAGAAATAAGACAAAAAAGTACTTTAGTATTTCTATTACAGTTATTGTCTGACCGTAAAGAAAATAGAACATTTATAGTGTTCTAGATAGATAGGCATTGACAGAAACGTTCGCGTTTATAATAAATAGTAATAACCCCATTGAGGCAACAGTATAATGAACGATGTCACACTGATATAGCATCATTTTCTTTAATGATTATTATATATGAATAGTTAGTTATTATGATAATTTTCAGTATTTCAGAATAATAATAAGTAGTTTTATGGAACTAACTGATGATTATTTCATTGAAATAAGATACAAGATCATCGAACGACTTATTACACATTGTTGTTGTTGAATGTCTCTTATTTTTCACAGATTCAGTTTCAAACTCAATGATCAATATTCTCTGGCCATTTGATTTAAATACCAATGATTTTTATAATACTTACAATGGTATTCCAACGAATAATCCGTCTTATGTTCCGTCACCAGTAAGTACAACGGCTATTCATTTTCAATCATCTTCGCAACAATCAGTAGAAATAACTCAGCCAACTCTAAAGCTAACTCACACATCATTTACTGTTGAATGTTGGATTCATCCAATATCTCTCTCGACCTATGATAATGCTATATTTGCACAATGTCAAAATTCATCACCTCAAAATTGTTTTCACTTAGGAATTCGAAATGCCACACTCTTCATGAATTATTACAAAGAAACTTTGAAAGGTATATCTGTCCTAAAAGCAAACAATTGGTATCATGTGGCATTCGTTTTTGATGCATTAACACTTCAATTAACAGTTTATCTCAATGGCAAACAAGATGCAACAAAAAAAGTATATACTCCTTATCAAGGTACAAATGATATCATTACTATTGGTACGTCGAAAATTTCTCGTATTCATCATACACATTTTAATGGTTACATGGATCAGCTTTCGGTCGTTTCAAAAGCTAAAAGCGCCGAAGATATATTACTTGATGCAACAACAATACCATTGATAAGAGTTAAAGGCAAGTATAATTGCAAAA